TGGACACCAGGGTTATTTCCAGTTTGGGGCTGTTATAAATACACTCCTTATTAATATTCTTGTACAAATAGATATATGTTTTCATTTCTCTTTATTTAATGAATACATGGGCTTGGTATTGCAGGACCAAAAGATGCCTATATATTTTGTTTTATAAAAATCTACCAGACCAGGGCCCCTGGGTGGCTCAGTCGTTAAGCGTCTGCCTTCGGCTTGGGTCATGATCCCAGGATCCTGGGATCAAGCCCCACATCGGCCTCCCGGCTCCACGGGAAGCCTTCTTCTCCCTTTCCTACTGCCCCTGCTTGTGTTCCTGCTCTCACTGTCTCTGTCTCTGCTGAATAAATAAATAAAATCTTTACAAAAAAAAAATCTACCAGACCATTTATCCCAATGATTGTAACTTTTTTAAAGAATCATTTATTGTGTAGGTAATATGGTCATAGGGTTCAAACTTGAAATTTGACAATGACAATACTCACCTCTTCTTTCTCGTTCCCATTTCTCCAAAACACTAGGTAAATGTTCTTTTTTATTTTTATCACATACCCACCTCTTCTTTCTAGTTCCCATTTCTCCAAAAGGTAGGTAAAGTTTCTTTTTTCTAATCTTTTTAGATGTTTTTATACATCTATAAACCTATAAATAGCTCATACTATATAGATAGTTCTACACTTGGCTTTCTTTTCGTTTGTTTTATTTAAATTCAAGTTAGTTAACATATAGTGTATTATTAATTTTGGGGTAGAATTTAGTGATTCATCAGTTGCATATAATACCCAGTGCTCATCCCAACAATGCCCTCCTTAATGTCCATCACCCTACCCCATTCCCCACCAGCAACCCTGTTTGTTTCCTAGAGTTAAGAGTCTCTTACGGTTTGTCTCCCTCTCTGTTTTTATCCATTTTTTTTTCCTTCCCTTCCTCTATGTTCATCAGTTTTGTTTCTTAAATTCCACAAATGAGTGAAATAATATGGTATTTGTTTTTCTCTGACTGACTTATTTTGCTTAGCATAATACATTCTAGTTCCATCCACGTTGTTGCAAATGGCAAGATTTCATTCTTTTTGATGGCTGCATAATATTCCATTGTGTATATATACACCACATCTTTATCCATTCATCTGTCAATGGACATCTGGACTCTTTCCATGGTTTGGCTATTGTGGACATTGCTGCTATAAATATTGGGGTGCAGTATATCACTTTGAATCACTATTTTTGTATCTTTGGGTAAATACCTGGTAGTGCAATTCCTGGGTCATAGGGGAGCTCTATTTTTAACTTTTTGAG